TGAGATAGAAGAGCTGTGTCATATTCAAACCCGAGTAGTCTAGTTGCATCCAACCTGTCCATTTTATTCCTTGCCTCACCTCAGATGTGGACATTCATAAATATGTAGATTCGAACAATTTGTTAAACAAAAACGTGTCATTTTAATTTCCGAAGACTAGTGGGGAACCACAAACTCATCCAGTGTTTGATCTTGCTTGTACACTGAATGATGACCACAATTCAATCAATATTCAGGTATAGTCTTCAAATGTCACGTAATTTACTAGCTTGTTATCTTAATTTTATACCCTTTATCTTCCATCCACAAATTATGTCAGATGAATTGAGCGTGTCCTCTATGTTTGATTTAGAGATAATAAAACAATGGCAGGTAGGAAAATGAAACACGAATACGTGAAGAAATGCCGCGAGTGGGATACTCAAAACCTTGTCTGTTAAAGGAACTTTGGCTTAAAACAATAGTATCAATATGAACCTGTCAGATAGTCGATCCATCACATACCACGACTGAATACATAACCTCGAGTTTGTGACGACCGCCAGTAGATTTTGTAAATATATGATGTGAACAAGCTGCATAGAACTTTCAACAGAAATGAGCAAAAGTAATGATAGTCATGATAATAATAATATTAATAAGCAAAACAAGTTCAATTGTAAAGGTTGAATGACTGGTTGCCTGAATGAACGAATAAGCGAATGAAAGAATGAATGGATGAATGAATGAATGAATGAACAGTTGGATAACGAGACTGATTTCCTTTCTTTATTTCTCTTTCAATGAACAGCTGCTACTATTTATCAGTGGCCTTATCTTTCATCTCACCTCAATCGGAAACTCCAACCGATCATTCTCTACCGTACTCACATCCATCATTGCATCCGAACTACAAATTTCTCTCCTATTCATTCATTCTGATAATCCATACATAACCTGTGTTACAAATCATGAAATCATTCTCCATAGCAATTGAGTGGTTTGTGAATGATTGATCAATGTGAAGGATGAGATGAAAGATTGAACAGTTAGTGAAAGTGTGGAGAATGGAACAGGTATTTGATTTCAGTTCACATCTTCATGGTGCTAAATAAACATGATTATCTCACATGTTTTTCCCTACCTTATTTGTTCTTCACGACAATATTAGACTTATCAATTATGTTTTTTACCCGCTTGTTTACAGAAAATATATTTTAAATATTTTGCACATTTATTCACTAAGAGTTTCAAGAAAAATTCCAAAGATACTTAAAAACACTTAAAAGATATATGAAGGCCCTATTATTTCATGCACACAATAACTCATAATAAGCTTCAATACGTTACTAACTGTATAATTTGTATAAATTCCTCTCCCAGTCTATCGTTAGCGTCCACTTTATTGGTCTATCATTGATATCTTGTTATGTCGAGTGTCCTTTGAGTCAAACGTGTTTGATGTAATCGTGAAACACAATATTCAAACAAATAAATAAGCATGATATTGATTTATACATTGAAACAATAGTAAACAACTTCAGATTTATTTGGAGCAAAAACAGGCGAATACAATTGATCCAAATATTTTGAAAAATAGTAAACGACTTCACAAATATGTGTAGGTCATTATTTCGTAACTTTCTTTCATATAAAACCACCGACTGAAATAAATTCGATCACAAAACTCGTAGAGTATGTAAGGTTGTCCATAACAGAATAGTGAATATTTCTTGGTCCATTTATTAAGTTATGTTGTGTTAACTCAATACTGTGTGAGAGTGTAGATATTTCAGTTCTATTTTGAATACTAACGGTATTAATTTAAGTTTTAGAAACAGATAAAGTTTATCAAGCACAATAGCCTACTTGTTCTGACTTTGGCTAAACCAAGACTCTGTGCTCGACAGTCTATAGAATAGCTTAGAGTTACACCTGTAGGAATTTTCTTCCCACAATGGCTGTCTACACATTGGACATAGTTCTCTTTATCATCTTAAAGAGATCAAGAATTGAGGTTTGAGCAGAATAATATGAATTTCTTTTATTTAGTCTGGTCCTCATCAGCTATATACAACCTGTTGTATTGATAAGATGTGATAGAACACAGCTGCAAATTGTTTTGATGGTACTTCTTTTTAACCACGAAAACAGGTATTCACTAACTCGCTGACTCATTTGTGTGGTTGTGTGCCGCATATTGCGTTCCCCACAGGACGTGCTGGATTCGTAGATGAAAATGGACATGGCAGAACCAGACAACTTATCTTTTAGTTGATGAATCACCATAGATCCTGGCGAGAACGACAGACAGAACCAACTGGATCGTCTATATCATGACTCTATCATTTACCAAAATTCCACAAGTCAAGATCTCCACCTCGTCTAGTTTTAGATACGCATAATTCACCACACCATAAAACTACAAAAAGATTGGTTCAAATCCTAGATCTTCTGCATATAGTAGTCGTCAAATTGAGCGTTAAAGACGTTTTCGATTTCATTTCCATGGTGAAACATACATACTTAGATGCGAAACAGGTGATATCTCTACATGTTGCTTCCTTGTTCACCAATCTACCAATAACTGAGACTATCGACTATTGACTATTGTGTGCCAACAACTACTTGTAAAAAAGATCAATATTGGAATTTCGGATGTTCGTCTCAAAGAATTACTTCTGAAATGTACAATCAACGTCCATTTTTTCGCTAATAACACAGATTACAGACAGTGGAAACCAGGATGAGGATTTCTTCGTATTTGAGACACTTGAGCTGGGTTCATTTACATATCAATATTGATGTATTCTGTGCGACCCGAACCCACTGACTATCTCTTCAAACACCAACGCATTACTAGTTAAATTACCAAGTTCGGACGGTCGTGTGTGGTCATCTAGTGAGTCTTTCATCCGGTTCAGCAACACTCTGTTGAATATTTTTCATCTGATAGCTGAGCCAACAAAAGTTTCTGTCAGACCCATTCAAAGAAACAACTTCGGTTAATCTCAGAATATTTCATACACATAGTTCCCTTTATTATCTTAAATAGAGCAAGAACAAAGATTGGTGCAGAATAATATGAATTCATTTTATTTCGTTAGGTTCTCATCAGCTGCTTACATCCTAAATTATTTGAAATTCAACATTATTACAGATATTGACATATTTATACATAAGAGTGTGAATAAGGATCAATACATGTGTATGATGATGTAGAAAATATTCAGATAGAGTTAATAAGCTCATAAAATGTTTGATTCGAATAAATAAATAAAGTTAGAGAGTGAAAGTTCTGGAACATTGAAATAGTGATTAGAACTCATGAAAATAGATTAATAGTAATAAAGAAAATATGAATTAAAATCAATCATTTATGTATGATGTAATTTAAACTTCAGAAAGAGTTGGAAGATGGGGAATGACGTAATAAATAAATAAATAGGAGTAAATGAATAGAAAGGGTGAGGATTATTGTTACCAGGGTAAAGAAAGATTTATTACTGTCTCTTTTTGTATACATAGATCTGGTTTTAAACGTTTGATTGCTATCACTTCAGCGAATTTCAAAAGGTTAGAGTTTGATTGTTTGTTGATCACCTTGAAGGACTTCAGTATATCAACTTCATGTCCTGTATCAAGGAGATGTCTTGCGATAGCACTGCTGAATGCGTTTAATCCATTTAACCGTAAACTTTTCGGAATATGTTCTTTGAATCGGACGTAGGCTCTCCTTTCTGTTCTACCAATGTAACTGCTTTGGCAGGTACATGTAAATTTGTATACACAATTGGTGGTAACATGAAAGGGATACCTGTCGACCTTTGATTGTGTCAAAGAACATGTTGTTTTAGACAGGACAATCAATTTTGCTGCAGGATAAGTTCTCGTCAGTGCAGTTTTTAGTCTCATATTGATTAATCCTGTGATGTCGTCACCTTTGAATTGAAGTTGAATAAAAATAGGCTTTTTATTTGCTGTAATTTCTTTCGGTTTTTTATCTTCACATTTGCCGTATTTTTCAATAAATTTCAGTGGGTATCCATTATTCTTTAAACATTTTTTAACATTCATAACTTCCTCTTCTAGTGTATCGGAAGTACAAATTCTTTCTGTTCTGTGAAACAGTGTTTTGACCAGTGCTTTTTTGTAACTGATTGGACAAAAGCTATTGAAATTAAGATAACTACCATTCCATGTGTCTTTCTTATAAACTGAACGTTGAATCGTACCATCTTTTCTTCTTTTCATCGCGATATCGAGAAAATGGAACTTGTTTTCTTTTTTATGTTCCATAGTGAAATGGATATTCGGATGTGCTTTGTTGAAAAACTCTAGCAGATTTATTGCATGTTGTTTATTATTACATACGATGAAGGTATCATCAACATACCTCGAATAATACGTCATTTCATCAATCGCTCGTTTGAGTTTGGTTTTTTCGAGGTTAGCCATGAAAATATCTGCTAGGACAGGACCTAACGGACTTCCCATCGCTACACCGTCGGTTTGTTTGTATTTGATATCGTTGAACTGGAACTGAACATCTTTTGTACAAATGAGTAATAGTCGTTTGAATTCTGGTACTGGTAGAGGTAGGATGTCAGAATGTTGACAAATTATGTCTATGGTTTCAAGAAGTGGTATTTTTGTAAACAAAGATGTTACATCAAAAGAAACCATAAACTTACCAGCAATATTTATGTGATTCATGCTGTCAGAATAAACAAGTTATAAGTATGGAGTTTGAATCCCTTGTGGAGTGGTATTTTAGTGATCGTAGCGTTCGACTTCCAGCTACTAAACCGCAGGTTCAAAGTCCTCTTTAAATACTTTGTTGAAACGATTGAGGATTATGGTTGGACATCGCGCTTACATGGTGGCTCACACCCAAGCACCTGGTGAATGAGTTGAGAAGTGGCAGTTCAGAACAGACGACAGTAAAGATCTATGTTAAAATGACAATTTACTGAATTCAAACTTTTAATGGTCTTCACTGCAATGTTATTCTGTGATAGAGAAATAATCTTAAACTTCAATTAACCATTGAAAATAAAAGTCAAAATTCAATTGGTCAATATAATACTCAAAATCAATTGGTTCAATGTCTCAATTAGAATGTCAATTAAATAATAAGCACCCGATTCTTTAACGTTCATTTTTGTCATTGCTATCGTTGTTACCATTGTGTTTTATAAACAAAAGGAATGTATAATCAAATGTTTTCCAAGATGAAATCACCACTCAGAATTTATTATGCAATTCTGAAAGCATTTGGATTAACACTTTGTATAATTTTCATATTACAAATATATTTTATGCGCACAACTGTCAAATATGTTACCTTACGAAATCATACTGAAGAAGCAATTATTGTACCCAATATGGCACATATTGACTGCAAACGAACATGTCGTACTATTTGTAAGAATATTGACAGCATTCCATCGAGTAAAGTGAGTGCATTGAAACCAATTGGAAAAATGCCATTCAATGGTGAATTCAATAAAGAAGTGAACCCAATCAACGACACATTTTATTCACATGATCTTGGTGGCGGTTGGATGTTTAAGGAGGAGACGACGAATTGCAGCAGCGTTCCACAATCCGGTACAGCAATCATCATCGTTTGTAGAGATAGGTGGATACAACTGAATAATACACTGTCCGCTCTGATTCCAGTTCTCCAGAGACAACATTTGTGTTATCAAATATTTGTTATTGAACAACAGGGCACTGGTATTTTGAACAAAGCTCAGTTGATGAACATTGGTTTTATTGAAGCACGTAAGCGTTTCGATTTCGACTGTGTTATATTTCATGATGCCGACTTAATACCATTGGATGATAGAATACCACATGGTTGTGATGAAGAGACGATGGAGAGTGTGGTTCATTTGAGTGTTGGAGTGAGTTCATGGAATTATGTTTTACCTTACAAATCATTGATCGGTGGTGTTTTGAAAATATCGACTTCACACTTTATACAGGTTAATGGTTATTCGAATAGTTATTGGGGTTGGGGTGGAGAGGACGATGATTTGGAGAGGCGACTGAAAGCATCAAATATTATGTATAAACACATTGAAAATTCAATAGGTAGATATCTGGCTCAACCTCACCCTAAACAGGTTCGTGGGAACGCATATATTATAGATAATTTAATAAAATATGCTATCAGTCGTATGTTCACTGACGGATTGAATTCTGTAAAATATAAAATTTCAACCTATTTTGAGAAGCAACACTACACACATTTTTTGATTGCATTAAAATAAGTTTTTTAAAGATTCAATTGCCTGTTTTTCTTACCCTTAAATATTGTATAACCTAGTTCTTTACAATATGAGACAAAACTATTTTTAAATTGAATGATACTTTTATTTAAGTATAGAAGTAATCAAGAAAGATAGCACTGATGTAGTCTCCAGTTCAACATTGTTATATGCACAGTCAAACGTGTATAATATTCACAAATGCACAGAAAATTACATCCATATGCAGATAAGTTTGTATCATTGATGGATCGAATAAAAGAATTTCTATTCGCTATTCATCATAGTGATTTGTACATTATTCATTTCTGTTGTCTATGTGTTTAATTTTCGGTATGTACATTCAAACGATATTTCAATTAATTACTTAACCATCTTTTCAAACATTTAATTATATATATATGCCCTAGACCCTTAGCAATTGTCCAATAAGAATATATGTAATGATAACTCATATGTAATTCCCAGTAGTCACCATTCATTTATTCTTCATTCGCATGTAATATATGTTCAGCATGATATGCAGCATGTGATTTCTTATGATTCTGAACAGTTTCCATACATGTGACTTTTCCCTAATTACTAATCAGATGGGTGTACAAATCAGTATATAATTGAGTGTATTTTCGACTAGAGTTGTCGTTGTGTTTTTCGGGTGAATAAATCTTCACTTGTATCAGTGTTGTGTGTTGTTATTTGGTGTCGTAGAAATTGAATTGGCTCCTCATTTTCGCCGTATAAGTAATTGGCGATGTAGACATAACTTATACCAATCTACACTTAATAAATAAGTTACATCAAGTCGTTTACTTGCATATGACAGTACATTAGTATTTGCAGTGTAGATATACTCAAGTGAACAAATTAATAACTTGTAGTCATTATCATTGCTTCTCTATTAATCCGATTGACAAGCTACGGCTCATTTAAGTATAGGACTTATTCATTAATAAATTATGACCTTTTACTGTTCCATACTACCAACACAATGATATGGGTATTAATACAATACTCTCATACTACTATAAATTTAATTGATCCAGTTACATGCATATAAATATTATTCTATTGCATCTTGAATAATAATAATAATAATAATAATAATAATAATAATAATAATAATAATAATAATAATAATAAGAAGAAGAAGAAGAAGAAGAAGAAGAAGAAGAAGAATAGCAATGATTATTATGATGGGGATTCTATATTGTTACTATTGTTTATTTGTTTCTAGTTATATCATGTCATATGATTGACCTTAGAAATAACTTTAATAGGAATTGCCAATTAGGATATTACTAGGTTTGTAGAAGCTATCACCGTTCGACAATTTACTACATGTGAAGAACAATTTCTTATTATCCCATGAGTCTATCCCGTTTATCCTTAAACCAGTTCAGTTTTGATCGCTAACTATGGGAATTGAAACTAGTAATTCTTTTCCTACTGTTGCCATCTCCAGTATTTCATACAACTTTATGTTGTTTTTTCATTGTATACGAGTATGTGTGTATTATCTAAAATAAGTTGCACGACAATAATGCTATTCAGATCAGGTATGTTCTTTTAGTGTACGCCGTTAATTAAAAAGAATAATATCAGTCTGAGAAAATATTTAAATCATAATTATGAGATGGTGGAGATGATTTGTAGCTCAGATAGAAGATTTTTGTGGAGTTTTGTTCTCTAAACTGGATGGTTTGGTCGTGGAGTTTGTGCTGATGATGTCGTTCAGAAGAACGATGAAGGCTCCATGACCAAACCATCCAGCTCAAGGAACAAAACTCCATTTAAATCATAATTAATTAGTTTGATAATAATTACTTTTCATTTCTCATTGTAATGAGAATAGACAGTAATAAGTGAAATATTGCATGATGATAAATAAAATTTTAGTGGTAATTGTTGAGATCTTTGCGAGAACTTATTCATCAGTCATTCAGGAACCAGTAAAAGAATAAGAACATTTTTCCAATTAACATACGTCACAAAAGCTTGGAATATTGACGGGTTATGTGTCGAACTCTGTTAGGATGTTTACTTGCTCAACTACCGAGTTTATTATACCTCCAGACGTTTCTGGAGGTCGACAGTTATCAATAATTTCATGCAATTAGATCTCTTTATGAATTTAAATAATGCAAAATAACATGAATTCATTACATTTCGTGGTTTCTCATCAGCCGATTACAACCAAATATGTATTAAAATTTCACACTGATGTAAGATATAGTGTGAAACAATTGACATAAGTGAATGTGGAGAATTGGAATAACAAAGGTTATCAATAATAACTATTTATATGTGTGTGCAAGAACAGGTTGGAGGTCATTCAGTGTGAGAATCAAGAAACGTGAGGGGTGGGTCATGTAATAACTGATGTAATATCTAATAATTAAAAAAACTTGAGGAATGTCAATGGTATGCCCAGTGCCAAGTAAATGCCAAGCTATTGCACTGTTAAGAGCCCTTGCTCCTCGCAGTCTCAATTTCTTTGGAACATGCTCGGAAATGCGAACACGTACTCTTCTCTAGTTTCTTCCAATACGTGTGCTTTGACACGTACATGTCAATTGGTAAACGCTGTTGGAGCTACTGAGAAAAGAGGACCTGTCAATTTCAGTTCGTTTGAGAGGGTAGTTCGTTTCCCATAGTGTCGTCAGTTCTACTGATGTGTAAGTTACCTACAACGCTATGTTGTATTTGATAATCGTTGGCTGTATGTGTCTGCATCCCAGTATTGTTGTTCATAGTGACGCGAACCTAGGGTGTTCTATTTTACACGGTAACCCAATAAATGCTAATCCATGAGTCCAGATAGTCACCAAGTTGTTCAACGAGTTCTCAGGTATAAGTTTTTGTTGATCATTTGAGGACTAAGACTGATCAGATATTTTGCCACAAACGACCGTCCGAACTTGGTAATTTAACTAGTAATGCTTTGGTGTTTGAAGAGATAGTCAGTGGGTTCGGGTCGCACAGAATACATCAATATTGATATGTAAATGAACCCAGCTCAAGTGTCTCAAATACGAAGAAATCCTCATCCTGGTTTCCACTGTCTGTAATCTGTGTTATTAGCGAAAAAATGGACGTTGATTGTACATTTCAGAAGTAATTCTTTGAGACGAACATCCGAAATTCCAATATTGTTCTTTTTTACAAGTAGTTGTTGGCACACAATAGTCAATAGTCGATAGTCTCAGTTATTGGTAGATTGGTGAACAAGGAAGCAACATGTAGAGATATCACCTGTTTCGCATCTAAGTATGTATGTTTCACCATGGAAATGAAATCGAAAACGTCTTTAACGCTCAATTTGACGACTACTATATGCAGAAGATCTAGGATTTGAACCAATCTTTTTGTAGTTTTATGGTGTGGTGAATTATGCGTATCTAAAACTAGACGAGGTGGAGATCTTGACTTGTGGAATTTTGGTAAATGATAGAGTCATGATATAGACGATCCAGTTGGTTCTGTCTGTCGTTCTCGCCAGAATCTATGATGACTCGTCAAGGTGTTTAATGTCAATGGGAGACAGAATATTCAAACAAATAAATAAGCGTGACATTCATTCATTGAAACAATAATAATAATAAACGTCCGATTTATTTGAAGCAAAAACTGAAGAAGAAAATTGATCCGACTATTTTGAAAAAAAAGGGTCTGTGAAAATAGTAATCAATAGACAAATATGTGAAGGTCATCATCTCATAACTTTCCTTTATATTATACCACCGACTGAAATAATTTCTATCATCGTAAAAGTACAGTATGTAAGGTTATCCATAACAGAATAGTGAACATTTTTTTGGTCATTTGATAAGTGACCATTACCA